TTTTTGCCCCCCCCCCCAGTTTGCAGCCAGTTTGCAGCTGGCCGTTTTGCAGCAGCAACTTCTGCCAGGGAGCTGGGGCCACACGGCCGTCCTCTGGGGCTCGTAGGTAAAGCGGGAACCGGCACAGACCGCTGACTGCCCTGCGGAGCTGGCGACGCAGGCCAGGACAGGCATCCACCTTGCTCTCACAGGAGTAACAAATGTCTTCTCCACCTGTGCACTGGAGGAAGCTTGCACTAGAGCCCCTCACCTCACCTCTGCATCCATTCAGACTATCAGTATGTTGTTCCCGGTAATTTAAAGGGCTGCTTGTCCATGGGATGTCTTCTGTAACAGCACAGGGTAATTCTGATGAAAGGGCTGGACTGTGGTTTTGCCACCCTGTTACGGGTGGATGGAGTAACTCAGCCCCAGGATTTAGTGTGGTGCCAGAAACCCATTTACCTCCTTAAATACCTGCTGTGGACTGTGCACAAACCGAAGCTTGAGCTGTTCTCCCGCATCAACTCCCGCTTCAGCGTGGGGATGGCTTCTGGGCGCAGGCCTGGCTTCCCAGCCGAGTATCTGGCAGGTCACCTACTCCCCCTCCCGACAGCAGAGCGCTGCGCCAGAGTCCCCTCTCCCGAGGGAGCAGTTCCACACTTTGCACAACCACCCTCTGTGTGCAGGAGGCAGAAGCAAAGCGTGCCCTGGGCAGCAAAGGCTGCGCCCCAGCCCAGCGCCGTGCTGCAGGACAGGCTGAGGCAGCTCCGAGCTGAGCACCCTGTGTTTTGTTCTCCATTCACAAGGGTGCATAGAAAAGCTTTGAAAATACAGCAGATTGTAACTGAAACCCCCATTAGATACCTGAGAAGTTGTACGAACTGATTTACCTTCAAAGGTAGCCTTGCTCCAAGCAGGCAGTTGCACTAGAGACCTCCAGAGGAGCCTTCCAACCTGAATTATTCCATCTTTGTAACTGCGCCTTGTAGAACTGTAGACACACAAACACCAGCAAAACCCTCCTGGTTGTCACTTCAGGATGTTCAGGGTATCAGCTTCAAGCTGCTGTTCATTTCGTCTCTGCAGTTCGGGCACATGTTTAGTCTTCTCCGGGCACGATGATGCTATCCAAACCTGTGACTGTTCAGTGCCTGGTAATCAGTTTGGTTTTTTTCTTCTTTCTTTTTTTCCCCTCTTGTTACTGACTAGTAAGTGGCATGTTAGTGATCCGTATCACAGCTGGATCTTTTCGAGAGAAGATCCTCTCTAGGCAGCGCTGCTGCTCTCATGGCTGGGGGGGGAAGGCACCAGCCGTTTCACCTGAAGTGCACTCCGATGTTGTCATCAGAGGCTCTGCAGTGCATCCACCTTCTTCCCGTCTTCATTGTCAAGCCAACACACAGCTGACGCCATCCAGGAGCAAACCCTGGAAGGCCATCAGGGCAACATTACCCATGTTTGCTTTTCCGCGTCAGGAATGCTGGCAAGAGCCATCAGGCTCCTCTCAGACGCGCTGCCAGAGGAGCATGGGGGTACACCACGCCTCTCCAAAAGAGAAGCCCAAACGCAGCCGGGCACGATCTGACAGAAGCAGCCTGCCCCAGCCTGCCCGATTCCCAGCACAGGGGCCCAGCCTCTCCCTCGCCTCTTTCAGGCATCAGCCTCCTGGGACAGGAGTGTGCGGATCTGGGATCCTCGTAGAGGTGCGCTCCTTCTTCCGGAGGGCCACGTGTGCTGGGTGAAAAGCATGTGCTTCTCCAGGAGCGGCTTGCTGCTGGCCACTGCAGGATATTCAGAGACGGTAACGCAAAGCATTTTGTAACCCTGCCTGCCTTTATGGTAATACGAACACGAGCCAAAGGAGCCAGTTCCCACACGCAACACTCCATCTTACGGCACGTTTCAGCAGCCTGGATCCATGCAGAGCTGGGCCCAGAGCTGCGCCAGGCTGGGTCTCCTTCGCCGCCAAACGTATCGTGTTTGGGTCCACACTAAGCTCCTAACAAAGCTATCACACAGCCAGTATTAGCATCATTGTAAAGCTATCCCTCGTAATAGGTCAATATATGGGAAATCACTTTACCACACATAATTAGACCTCTCTCTGGTTAAAACTTGTTTGAGGCTTAAAAATCCTTCAGATCTATGCTAAGTTCAGCAAGCAGAATTAAGATTTTTCCTAAACAGAATCTGGATCCAATCCAAGTACTCCCTAATGGGTAGAGAATTTTTTGTTAGAATGTATTAGCTACACTAACACAAACCATGACTGCTGCATCACTAATGCTCGAGCAGCACTGCGTAACTCTTCCTTACATCAGAACCAAAAAAGGCTTTTGGAATCGCAACTCCATCCCCAAGTTCCAAAGAACTCCGTGGGGGACAGAAAGTCGAACGATTTAACTAGTTCTGTGCTTCAGGGGTGAAAGCGTGGAACTGTGAGACCAGGGAGCGCCTTGAAACTTTAGAGGCAACAATCTTCTAGTTCAGCTTTTCTCAACTCTGGTTTCCCCGATTTCATTTGACCTCAATCAGTCTTCACACGCACACAAAAAGAACACTTGGCCTGAATATCGTATCCCCTACATTTTCCTAACACTTAACTGGAGCTGAGCTTCCTCTCTTCCCATCCCACAGCATGAAATGCTGTGCGCTAACACCAGCCTGGTTGGACTATCCTCATCCAAAAGAAATAAGCTGCGTGCCACTAGGACACCCTCTTTACACCTGTAACTCCCAGGGTGAGTGCAGCGTCAGCCTGCAGACTTCATAGCAGGCAGCGTTGCAGCTTGTGCGGGTGGATGCAAGCACCCCTGCAGTCCTGCCGCAGGCCCCCTGCGCAGCCAGGCACCGACAGACCAAACACCCTGCATCCAAAATGCACCTCTGCTGACAGGCAATGTTGGATGGTGCCTTCACCTTCACCCCGGAGAGCACCCTCTTACTTCCAGGAGCTGTTTGCCAAGGCTAAATCAGCTGCAAGTGGGAACAAATCTGGAGGACGATGCCGGAACCCGCTGTTTGCCAAGGCTAAATCAGCTGCAAGGAGGACGATGCCGGAACCCAGCTTCCTGACCGACACTGAAGAAGCTTCCTGGGAAGGCGGCTGCAGCAGCCCTCTGGCCAGCCCTCGCTGCAGCTCCAGGCAGCGGTGGTCGGACTGGCGACCAGCCACCTGTGAGGCGCCTGCCTGAAGCCGTCTGCCGGCAGGGCCAGGCAGCTCAGCTAGGCAAACCGCTGCCTGCGGCATGCGCCTGAACCGGGGACGGACGGGGATTCTTTGGCGCTACAACTAGTTGCGCAGAGATCCGAAACAACTGCTGACGAAATTCTTCAGTTTCAGTCCACTAAAACACCTCGCAAATTAGTTCATCTCTGTAACACTTAAACACTGGCACAAGACAAAAACTTTAAACATTTACTCTTAAGCTACTGAAGTGATGAATACCAGCTTATTCACATGGTAAACATCCATGTGCAGTCTATCTCAAGTTAAATACTTCTTACATGTTAAGTGCAACCCCAGCTTCGCAGATCTGTACTCATCTGCCCGTTCTTCAAAGAGAAAAACAATCCTAAACTGCAAGTTATGTTAGTATTTTCATTAGCAATAAAAGTTCAAATAAACTTTCTGTGAATTCTCTGATTTCTCTTCATAAAGCTGTTTGCTTCTTTTACCCACCACTACTGAAAAAAACCACCAGTGACAGCTTCCAAACAAAATTCTATTTAATGAGACATACTCAGCCAATATAATTAAGAACTTTCGGCACACTGCAGTTTTATGCCTTGATGGCGTATTTCCGGACAGGGTACAAACGTTCTTTTCGCTGCTGTTTTTTGGTCTTCAGATTTTCTTCATGTTTATTTAATCTGCGTCGCATGGCACGAGTCTTCTTCGGCCGCAGATCAAGAGGCTTATACTTTTTGCCCTATTTGCAAAAATACAGGACAAGTTGAGTTTGAGAGACTGCAAGGTAGCAATCAGGTGCACAAGCTCAGAGCGAGCTGAGCTGCCTGCAAGAACAACATCCGCAGCAGTGCTTTAAGCTTCTTTTTATTGGGACTATCGTTACAGTCTAGAAGTTTAAGAGAATTTCTCCCCACTGGGAAACATGAGTCGGTTCCAACTTTTGTACCGGCTGTACTGGCTTTGACTCAGGTTTAAGTAATGCTTAATCTTACAAGTCCCAGCTATCCAACACCTCTTGTAAAGTTCTTTTTTTCCTATTCTATATAATTCAAACCCCGAGAAGTAATATTGTAAAAACTGGAAAAACTTATCGAGATAAAGAATTCCTTGGTCACCTGCAACATGATTGAAATTTAGGAGAGTATCTGTATTTCTGGAAACTGCATCTTCTAGAAAGTACACTACCCCGCAGATTAGTGATGCTGCCCAGAAAACTCTCCTAGCAAAAGCAGATTCGCACCGAGCTTACAGAATGCAGGGTAGTCTTGCAATATTTAAAAAGGAACCATGACTAAAGAACTTTAGAACTGAACATAAATGAGTATTTTTATCTTGGGTTTTAAGCTTTTAAGTAACAATCCACAAAATCAGTTCCTGCCTGCAAATTACATATTTGAAAATAGTAAGAAAAAAAAGACCGCTATGCAAGATGTTTGGGCTTACCTTGTAAAACTTCCTCAAGTTCTCCTTCTGGGTCTGGTTGATAACAGTTAGGACTCTGGCAATGGATTTGCGCACCACACGTCTGCACATGGGAAAAAAAAGTACGTCTCAGAACATACTGAAAGACAAGTACCACAGGTTCAAAACCCGGTATACAGAAAACGTGTACACGCTACAACCAAGCAACTGACACCGCACCGTGCTGTAGCAACACTAACGATTTCCGGCATATCTCAGCGTAACATCTCCCAGCAAACAGACGCACAAACCGATTTTCAGGCCTACAAATGTTTGTTCCTCTTTCATACCATTTTTTCCTCGTTTTACAGCACAAGGCAACCACACAGGCTGTGAAAGCACCTCTCAAACACAGCGCACCGTCGCCCACACAACCCAGGCGCGACCACTCCCACGCGGTACCGGCTAAAGGCCGCCGCGCGGTACCGGCTAAAGGCCGCCGCTCCCGCACCCCCTGCTCGGGCAAGCTCCTCCGCGGCCTGACCGCAGCACCCCCCCG